GTATTCAGGTATTTCATAATAAAATTCTTGTATAGCCAAAACAATCAATTACCTTGAAGTTGGAGTCCTGCTATGCCAGACGTTAAACTTGCTATTTCTTATATAACGAAAGAGAAAATGACAGCGAAAAAATCAGGATATATTGGAGTTCACTAGTTCTATTACGACTCACTTACCACTAGCACCAGATTGCTCTATGATAATGCGAATGTATTTTTTTGAGCGGGTTTGACGATAAGAAGCAGGAAAGAAAAGCACAAGAATAAGTAAGTATTCAGTATTATTGGCGAATATGACACAGTGTGAGCGAGAGAAGATGAAAAAAATTACGCTATATCATATTGACTAAACTTGTTGTGACCTACCAGTATCAGGAGCTCTAACTACAACTCGAATGTTACCTCCTTGGACACCACGAAAAGTTTCTCCAATTATTTTTGCTGTATCCTTTAATTCGTCATTTAGTAATTCTTTGGAAATACTTTGATCTGTGTTAACTCTTCACAGTTTAAGCAGGTGAGAAGCAAAACCATATTCACATTTTTCTTTAATGGCTTTCTTGAGATCGTCAATATCATTACTATCTCCAATAATGACTTTGAATTTAGAATTATTTCGTATATCAAAACACCAAAGTATGATTTGTGTACCAAGAATTGTTACAGGCATCGTTGTATTACCTGTTACCAGTAGACAAGAAGGGAAAGATAAGTAAAATTTTTTTCACAAAATAGTAGCATAGGTAAAGTTTGATATCATTGGCTGAAGATCATCGATTGTGATTGGTTAGTTAGATTAGTTAAATAATTACGCGTGATTTTTTTTTGTATCACATTTAATTATTGCATATATCGCAATGGCAAAAAAAAATAAAGGTCCGTGTTCTATACAAAATTGTAATAAACAAATAGGCCGCTTTCGTCAATTTACTTCCTTAGCTTATAAAAAAGCACAAGAAAATGGAACCTATATGCTTTACACATACCTAAAAGTCGGACAACAGTTATGTCATATTCATTATATGAATATTGTTGAAGCAAATCATCATTAAAAGTCTGAACTTAATATTCCTATGGAAACAGATAAAACAAATAAAGAAATAACAATATATAGTAAGTATATTAATGATTTTATATTATTTTACAATGTATTTTAATAGTACTTTTTTTTTACAGAATCAATAAAAAATTATACAAATTACAATACTCATGAAAGTTTTATATCAGCATCAGAAAAATGATAGCATAGAACTTGATCCTAATTATTTTCAACAAATAATTGAAGAAGCTGATCCATGCTTACAGGGTTTTTTTAATCAAATGGTAAAGGCATTAGTTCCTGATAATAGATCTATATACAATAAAGTTGAAGCAAAAAAATCCGTTGTGGGTTTATGCTATATTATGGCTGGAATGCGAAATAAATTTGTTAATGATTTTAAATTAGAAATTGGGTTGTATTTATCAGCATCAGGAGCATCGCGTACTGCAATTGATACAATGAATAGCATTGGTCTTTCTTCTTGTTATGTAACAATTAATAACTATAAACAAAAACTTGTAAATGAACATACTATAAAGATTAGGGAATTTTTCTCTGAACAAGTGAGTATATATCAATTAAATGTGATTTTTTTGATTTGAAAAAATTATATTATATTAAATTAAAAAAAAAAATAAAGTTTTTATATTATTTTTATTGAATTCGCTTGATTATTTTATTAGAATAATTTTTTATATATTTATAATTTGGATGATTATCATGATATACATGAAAAAAGAAAACCCGATACAGTATTCTTGTCTACTGCTAAACATATGGCTACATGCATCTGCAAACAAGTTTTAGCATGTACACCAATTCCTATTATTTTTAATAATGTTTCAATACATAATCCAGTGAATATTGATGCAAGCAATATTTGTTTTCGATTAATACATCATTATCATGGAATATTTGATATTACTTATACTAATCGCAAAAAACAATGGCTTTCTAAACAATCAAATATTGAAAATTTTGATCGAATTGATTTGCTTACAGTACATAGCTATAATGATTCAATTGCAGAAAGAAAAGAAGAAAGATCAATGCAAGGAGTAAAATTAGTTGGATTTCAAGAGAGAAATTTACATTCTATGAATGATTATATAACAGCATTACAAATGATTTTAAATATTGATAAAGATATTGGATACTTATCTAATAAAGTTGCTCCATTGGTAGCTGATTGGCCTGGTCAATTGTTTATTCGCAAAGCAATTACCAATTTACATAATCCAAATTCACAATATTCTATACCAGCTGGAATAAATTCATTTGTTCCAATTTTGGGCCCTTTGCATGTTTCTCTAAATAGCAGGAAGCAAGTATTAATTATATATAATAATTTTTTTCAAAAATTGTTTCATTTTGTATTTGGAAAAAAAAAGATACTAGCAAAGAAACCCAAACCATGGAGAATAAACTTGCTGCTTGATCTAGCATATAGTGGATGGTGTAAAATTAGAGATCTAATAATATTAAAATTTGGAAATGTCTGTAAAGATATTGAATATTGTATGGTTATTGACCTTTTGGATAATGTAATTCCAGCAACTTTAGATATCTATGCTGTTCTTTTTCGATCTGGCTCATTTGATGAGTATATAGAAACTATTTTTTGGATTTAGACATTTGCTCTTCGATGGAAAAGACACAATTATAACAAAACACCATTGGCATTTCTCTCAGATGTTTTTTACTGGCAAGATACAAATCATCCTTTTGCAGAAGCTATAAAATTATTTTTAGTAAATTTCAATGATTACTATGTTGAAAATATGCATAGCAAGATAAGGGCTCATACATTTGCAAATAATAATACAGATAATATTATTAAACAAGCTTACCTAATTGGTATGATCTTGTTTTTGACTTGATTATGTTATCACTAATAATTATTGATAATATTATAATTATAATTGATTAGATGCGCGATATAACTGTCAAATTAAAGATGTTTTTGAAAAAAAATATAAATACCCTTATAAGCCATTGACATTGGATTTGTTGTCAGAAAAAACAGCTCTATTTTTATTAGATTATTTCATGAGATCTTTAAAAATTGTGGAAAAAGCAAAATTGAAAAGAAAAATCAATATAAATTAGCTACCTTAGAAGAAATTGTTGACTCAAAATGTCTTCCAGCTGGATATAGTACTAGTGTATCCCCATTGCCAAATGCTTGCGATCACTGTAAAAAAAAACTTGATGATGGTGAAGTTTTAGTTTGTGGACATGGATACCATTTTGAATGCTATCAAAAATTAGAGTATAGTTGTCATTATTATGAAGAATATTATAAACGCGGAATATATAATAATGTGAATTCCTTTTTAAAATGATTGGAAAAAGGTCCAAATATACTTACCACTGAAGAAAAAGAAGGTGAAAATGTTGAAGATATCACTAATGAAGATGATGAAAAGACGGAAGAGATAGAAATAAATAAAAGCCAACAAGTATATGTAGCTTTTATAAATGCACTTAACCAAATTGACACTTGGTAATATATCTAGATTCCATCAATAAAAACCCGAACAAGTTAGCACTTAGTAATATAATATATCCATTAAATTCCCAACTAATAAATCATTATCGTAAAATATATAAAATATACTCCTTATGTAACTTGCTAGGCATTTGGATCCATTTGGATCCAAGGAATCCATAAGAAAAGTTAGCTTCAAAAGAGTATATATGTGAAGTTTCGTCACTGGTTATTTTGTAAAAAAAAAAATTTTATAAAGGTCGATCATTTTTTAATTGAACTTTATTGTAAAATGCATATAAATAATTGTGTAACAATATCAACTAAATTTAGACTTTACCTATGCTATTCCAACTTCAGACAACTTATAAAAAACTATTTTAACCAATCACAATATGCCAATTTTTTTTTTACCGTAACTTTAACATTATATATTTCAGACTTTTAACTTTTAACTGAATTATAATTTAATTTTGTGGAATTTATTTATTAAATTTTGTAGCATTAAATACCAATATTTTTTTTTTTTTTAAGGATTATTTATTTTTTCTTTTATTTTTTATCGTTTTATTTCTTTTATTATTATTATCTTTTTTTTTTATTTATTTAGGATTTTTGATCAATTCGGGCTACTGCTTAATGTAGGTTTTTCTATTTTCATTTTTTATTTTTTTATTTATTTTTAATTTTTTTTATTTTTATTCAGTTTTTCGGTAAATAAGTAAGTTCATTTTTTTATTTTTTTATTTTTTTTTTTAATTTTAATTTATTTCTATTTTATTTTCATGCAGGTTTTTGATCGCGTCAGTTTCATTTTCATCTATTTTTCAGGTTTTTTTAAACTTCAGACCGAAGTGATCCAACCTTAAAAAGCTAAAAATAAACATGTTAAAAACATTCACTTTTTTTTTAATTCTTTTAAAACAGCAGAAAGCAAATAGAAAAGGAATTCCTACCTTTACAATTACCTGTATAATTATTCTATTTTGAAACTGAAAGGCGAATTTTAAAATAAAATTACTTAACTTTTTATAAATATTTTCAAATTTTAATATAGAAAAAAGAAATTGTTAATTTTTTTATTATATTAGTGTAGTAAAAAAAAAAAAATAAATTGTTTTATATACAGTAATAGATTCTTCATATTATTTTAATTTTAATTTATAAATACTAGGGATAGTAACGGTCGGTTTTTAACAAATTTATTTATGATCAGCAAGACAATAGTATATGGGGCCTTTGCAATAGAAAGGGAGGAAACTCCAAAAAAATTAAAATTTTAGCTTATAAGCCAAAAATGTTTCAAATATTATAATTTGTTCAGATTTATTATTAACTCATTTTTTATTTTTTTTTGAGTTTCCTCCCTTTCTATTACAAAGGCCCTATATAATGATTAATATAATATAATAATATAAAAATTTTAAATAATCTAAAAAAAAATATGAAAATATATTCTTATATTTTTTTATGCTTTTTTAAACCAAATGCAAATTTTTGAAAACATTAAATTTTTAACAAAATTTTTATAAGTAGTCTTAAAATAAATAATAAGAATTTTATAATACAATATATATTACAAATAAGCAGCATTTTATAACTATAAGCCAAATTATCAATTAATAATACAAAAATATATAGAAGTTTAAAAAAAGTCAAAAAAAATGATACAATCAGATTTGTATATAATCATTTTATATATAATTACATTTTGTTTATTATCATTTAAAACTGAAATATTCTTTTTATAATTACTATTATATACTTATTACTATTATCAGTAAAAAAATTTTTAGGTTTAGATTATTAGAAAATAAACTGTATATTATCATATGTTATATAATATTTATTAAAAAATTATATTTAATTCTGATCAAAATATTAAGAATATGATATAAACTTACCTTTTAAGTTATATCTATTTCACAAAAAAATATTTTTTCTATTTTTAAAATTATCATAATTAGATATTTGTATAATTTTAATTTTTTAAAAAATAAATTTTATAATATCAGCTGAAATTATAAATTATATAAATTATTAATTTTTATGCTATAATTATACTTATCTATAATTATTAATTTTTGGCTGATCAGAAGTAGTAATTATAAACAAATCTGACCGTATTACTTTTATTAAGAATAAAATTTGAAAATATATCTTTTATTATTTACTCTTATTAAAAAATATCTTATTCAAATTGGAATAAAAATGTAAGTAGAATTAAATAAAAAAAATTTATAATGCGTATTTTAGAAGGAATAAATTTCATTTAAACTAACTTGATTATACTTATAGATATGATTTTAATTTTAATAAAATTGAAAATAATTTAACTAATGTAATTATTTCTTTATATAAATAAATTTTTAATACTAAAAAAATAAAAATTAGATTTAATTATTATAAGTTTTAATAAAAAATCAATATTTATAGAATTATTACATAATATAAAATTTTATTTTTATTTAATTAGTATAATAAATAAACTATTTATTATAATTTTTAATTTAAATTTTCAAAATGAAAGATTAGATAGGTATTGAAAAAAAATATATAGTCTTTTTATTCATATTTTTAGAAAAAAACATTTTATATTTATTTAAAACTTCACAAGAAATAAATTTATAATAGAAATATAAAATAATAATAGAAAATTTCATATTATGAAGATAGTTCATTAATAGATATCTGATAAAAATTATAGTTTTAAAAAAATTCTATAACACATAATTATTTAAATTTAAGAATATATATACATAATCTATATTATAACAATTATATATTCTCAAATGTTAGCTATTTTCAATAAAATAATGAGAAACTTATGAATAATTTATATGAATACTATTTTAAAAGATAAACTATTTTAAAATAAATTAATTATATTTATTTAAATAGTAAGAATCTAATAGAAATATTATTGAAATAAATATAATGTTAGTTAATTTATATATAAAAAATTATTAATTAAACAATTATGAATTATAGGTTTAGAATTCTATATTTAAAGTAATTAGATAAATTAATATAATATCTTTTTATAATAATATATTTATAATATAAATAATGTATACTTTATAATTTTTATTTAATTATTACAGTCAACTCTTGATATAGTGAGCTCTTGATATAATGAATTTTTTGAACAAATATTATAAAAATACTCTTGTTATAGCGAATTGGTCAATCAAATCTCTTAAAATCTTTATTATAGCCTTATAGCAAAGTTGAGGTCTAAGATATAGAGTTCGTTATAACAAGAGTTGACTGTATTAATAACTAATTATTTATTATATATTATTTTTAAATAAGTGAAAATAATTATATCTTAATGTTTATTAGAAGATTTACTTAAAAAATAACAGAATTTTTTGAGTTTTATTTTTATAAAAAAATAACATGATTATTTACCTTAAATTATTACAAAATTAAACAAAACTTCTATTTTTTGATTTACCTAATTCTTATATTTTAAAAAAATATAATCTAATATTATTAATATTAAAATTATAGGATTTTAAAGCAATATATTTACAGTTAAATTGTATAGCTGATGAATCTAAATTATTATTTTTAAATTAAAAAATAAATCTTAAAAAGAATTTTTTAATGATGTATTTATAAAACTAATGAAAAAGAATAAGTTAAAACTTTAAACAGATTAGTTTAGATCAGATCAATTAAGTTATCTAAATTGAGAGAATCAAATCAGGCTAAATAAAAGTTTAATTTAATTTAAAATTTTATTTAATCTAATTTAACTTTAATTAACTAGAGTTTTGAATAGGATAAATCATTTTAGATTATCTAATTAAGCTAACTTGATACTTTTTTTTAAATTAAGTTAGTAGAATTATTCTAATTAAATAAAAAAATTATTCAATTCAAATAATAAGAAATTGCTCTAATTTGAATAATAATAATATTGTTTAATTAGAATAATAATAAATCATTTAAAATAATGATTATTTTTTTACTGATCTAATCTAAATTTCTTAAGTCAATTCAGATTAGATTAATTTTAGAACAAGTCGACTTATTATTTAACTTAATTTGATCTGCAAATTCAGGTCAGGTCAAATAATATTTTAACTTGGTTTAAAATTAACTTAAAAATCTACTAACTTAAACTAGATTTCAGGTTATATCAGATTAGATAACAAGTTATTTTGATCTGATTAGAGCTCTTAAATGGGTAAATAAAGAAAAATGAATTGGTAGATTAATATTTGTTTTAAAAAAACTTTTAATACATTATTTATCCTAGATTTCTACTTGTTTTTGATTCTTTTTATGATTATTTAATTAATTCTATTAAATAAAAATTGGATAAAGTTCATAATAATATAGCAGTAATTTCTAATAGATTAATATTTAAATTATAACCTTTTGATGTAATATTTAATAAAAACTTTAAATCTATGTAAGTATTAGTTATTTTATTTATTATTATATTTATTAAAATATAAAATAAAAATTAGAATTTTCTTTTTATTAATAGGTTTGTAAACTTTATAATAATTGGAGTTTATAATCTAATTTTAGCTAGATGTATCAAAAAATCATCATATCTTTGGTATCTTTATAGATAAAAATAGCATGAAAAAAAGTTGATTCAAATTTAATTTGCAAATTATTTAAATGTTAATTCAAAAGATGATATGATTTTAGATTATGATGATCTTATAGTAGATGAAAATAAGGAATAAATAAAAAGAATAGAGTAATTAATGATGAAGAAATTGATTTTAATGAAGCAATATTAATTTGCTTAATTTTGTTTTAATAATAAATATAAATAAAAGTAACTTATGTTTAATATATATTTTTATTAATAATTTATTTAAATAGTAATTATCACCGGGTTTTTAACAAAATTTCAGCCCAAAACCCTAAAAGGGGGGGTAGTTTAGTCAGTATGATTTTTGCTATGGGTTTGATGTTAAAATTAAATGCTAATGAAATGATCACAAAACCATTATGTAAACAATTTCGTTATACTCCTTTATTATTGTT